GTAGGGGCGAACGGCAGCAAGTGAGCTGTCAGAGCTTCGGCTCAGCCGATCTAGATGTTGGATCGGCTGAGTCGAAGTCCTTCTGCACTTCGGCTCAGCCTAACATGCAGAGCATGTTCAGCTGACCGAAGTGCAGCCGAAGGCAGCCTATGTACCGCTGATTTCAGCTGGATGTACGGCTGAATCAGCCGTGCTGAGCCAGACTGAATAGCTGAACGTAGTTCGGCTCACTTCACTTCGGCTGGGTTATTCACTCGGCTGTCTTCGGCAGCTTTGTGAATAACCCCCTCAGTCTTCCCTTTTACAGAGGTGTGTGGATCTCTCCACTCCTACTTTAAAAGGGACTTGGTACTCCACCCTTTGTTTCTGTCAGGTACGTCGAGTCTATATAGGCTCACTGGATCGCAGCTGCGGAATTGATTTTAGTGTATTTATGAAAAGGTGGTTCAGTGGGCGGTTCCCTATTACACTGAGTGCGGTAGGGAGACCGTACGCATCATGTACCACCGGGGTGACCTACAGGTGGTGGTTTTTGGAAATAATTGGTAAGGAAGTCCCCTTAACTAAGATGTAGTTGGGGCTAATGGGGAAGCAGCTGGATGTAACCAGAGTAATGAAGTGAGTATTTGCAGACTATGGTATAAACAGTAGCAAGCAGGCAGTTTGTAACCAACCATGTTCAGTATTTTAGAACAAGTATGGCAGCTGTGTGCGAGCAGGATATAGCAAGCATGAAATGATTTACAGCACTCCACTCTTCCAATGCAAGTCAGTTTGAAGCAACTGCTGCTGCTCGCGGTATACTGGGACGCCGCAGCTGAAGCGGATCCCGACAATAATGTCTGGATCCGCTCAGCTGCGTGACCGACAGCTGGCTCTGCCTATCTAGAGACAGAGCCAGATGTACCTGCCCCCTCCCCCGTCCGTTCCGCCAGTCAGCGCTGGTGGATCGGAGCGGGGAGGGGGGAATACAGCACCTCCCCTGTCACGGCAGAGAGCCGTGGCAGGATCGAGAGGTGAGCGAACGCCGGTATGTGTTCGTTCACGTCCCGATCTACTGAGCCGACCTGTGACAGTCTCATTGTCACAGGTCGGCTAGAACTATGAGGTGAGTGAAAAGCACTCACCTCATGGTTCTCCTTTTGAGGGTATTCTTCTTCAACCCCCAGCTGTTTTACGTTTTGGCCTTTGGTTGGGACATAACTTGTTCCTTTCATTCCTTTCACTGAGGGGCTAGGAATCCCAGGCTTCTGCCTTTACCTTACAATACAAAACCTCCTTGTTTTTTTTACCTATTTTTACCTTACGGTATTTGATTGGTTGTCCTTCACATTCTTGAGGTCCACCATTCTTTCAGATACAAGTCTCTCCTCAGTGGTGCTACCTACCCTTCTCTGTAGCTTCAAACTCCTTCTTGGTGCTTTTCCCTGTTATTTTCATCTAGCCTTGTTCAGGCATTGACTACTTTGGATATTCTTCCAGTAAGATTTTCAGATCTGTTGAATCTCTCTGTGGCTGTTGTCCGCCCCTCAATTGGACTGCTTTTGGATATCCCAAATGTCCAAGAATTACTACTTTCCTGTGCCCTGAATGGGTGATCAAGAAAATAAGCCTTTTTTCTTATTGTAAAATGATTTTCCTAAAGTCAATTGAGGGACAAATGTCTCACCCCCCTGTGAAGCATGATCAAGCACGATGCTAAGGCAATGTTATAGGAAAGTAAGCAACTAGTCACGTTAGCACAGGGAAGAGACTTCTGGGACATTCTGTAGGCAAGAAGTACTATTGGCATGGTTGCAGGTTGCAAGAGAGGACTTTTTTTGCCTGGTTTAGAATATTATAGTACGCTGTAGATTGAAATGGGAGGGTCATTTGTATTAGTCTTAAATTACAAAATGTCTTGTTTGCCAGTTATATACTGTATGTTATTAAACCACCGCAAGATACCTTACATTTCTTGGACCTTCTACTTTTGCATTTCTAGTTTGTTTTATCATGGTGAATGCAGCGGAAAGAAGAGAAAACACCCAAAACTCTGTGCAGAGCCAGAGACTGTGGTGGGAAGATCTTACTACCGTAATACCAAACAATCATAACAAGCGGACGATTAAATTGTCCAACATCTGCCAAAAGCTTGGTGTGAACGAACCTATAAAATCCATGGCATTTTGGTGTCCCCAGTGGATAGTTCCAGTATTATTCCATTTCATCTACTGTTGTGATTTAACTCCACTTGAAAAGTTAAAAACTTGTGAAACAGAAAAATCTCGCAAAGCATTTATACTTCTCTTTAGCTTATGTTTTTAAATTATGAAAATATTTTAGCTGTGGCCCCTTGGGGGTTGTCTCTTCATTGCTTAGCTTGCTCTGAGTCTTCCACACTCAATTTAAGGGAGAGCTATTGAGTTAAATGTATATTTTCTTTACCACAGGGGGGTTGGGGGGTATGGTAACTAGTGAAGCCGCAGCATGAACTCATAATGCTTCTTCTGGCAATAATACATAATAAAGGACTAGGATAATTTACCTTCCTATAAGTTCGTACTGCGTTGGTTAAGAACTCAATAGGGACCATCAGAAATGTTTGCAGATCCTTCAACTCCCACGGTAAAAAAGTTTCAATGAAGATGTTTTAGATTTATGAGTAGTTATACACCATGTGTTCATTCCTGGCAAAAGGCCAAATGGATATATAAAAAAAAAAGAAAACAAAGAACAAAATAACTCATAGTTGTTCTAACTCACTAAAATGCTTTAAAAAATCAGTTTGTGAGTTGCACATTTTACGCCTGAAGATTACTTAAAACTCCCAAAATGATATATTTCCTTAAAGCAGAGATGGCAAAGAATGAAATGGTGGAAGCAGTAATTTTTTTTATGTCACACAATAGTATTGCAGCTGTTTATCAAACCCAAATTTTGAGTAAAAAAATGCATTTTTAATGTAATGTTTTAATGTTTTACACTTTAGACCCCCAATTTTACCTGTTCACTTTAATGAAGCTAGTCAAGCACAGATGGAAGGAATTAGAGCTCTTAAACTGGAAGAGACAAAAAGCTGGTCACTTCCAATTTCATTCTTCACAGGAAATCCCTCTGCTGACACCCGCCATGGGTTTTCTGGGGGCCAAGGAGGGGCAGCGGAGCCCAGGAAGCATGGCAGGGTGGGGGAGAGGGAGTGGGGGCAGCATCATTCAACAGGGTTAAAGCAGGCCTTTAATTAAAAAAAGAAAAACATGTGAGCAGACAGGCATACTATGTCTGTTCTGCTATAAAAGCTTCTTACCCATCTGCTCACAAACTTCGGTAAAATGTACACTGAGCTGCACATGCATGTACAGTATCGGCATGCCTTGGTGCTGGGATGAATTGATTCCTTTGTACATACACTAGATTCACTACATCCCAGGCAGGCAAATCAAGTTGAATGAAAATGCCACACCTGGAAGGAGACCAGCAGAGGAACTCTTGGATGTTACATCACTGGAAGGGAGGTGATTATAGGCGGATTTTCATTCCTCTCTAAATTCATGAAAGGTTTTTTTTAGATATAATTTGGAAAGTTTAGACCTTCTGTCAGATTATAACATCTGTCTGTGCCCTCTCTATATGACCTTGTAACTAATAACTTCTGATACAGAAAGTCATTAGAAATCCAACATTTTTAAGGTTTTCACCAGAACAGGAGGTCCCAATGGCAATCCTGTTCTGGTGACAACGAAGAGGGGATATCCCCTAGCTTTAGATCTTCTCTTACATCTTGCTGTGTGTCTGGGACAAGAAGTAAAGGGAGAATCTCCCCAGAGGAACACAGACTGCAAAAAAAAAAACTGTCTGGGGTCTTAAATATTCTCTATGTTATCCAAAAGAAAAAAAACACGATTGGGCTTTACATACACCTTAAGGAATTGATAGAGTGCATCTTATGCATAATAAACGTAAGCTAGTGCCAAAGCTTTTCACTTCATGTGGCCACCAATGGGACCAGATCAAAGCACAAAATCATAACATGAGTGATCTGACACACATACAGTATGTGATGGAGTTCTGTTTGTATTAGTTGCAAATACAGAAACAAAACCTTAAGGCCTGGTTCACACCTAGGCGGCATCGTTTTTGTGTGTGCTGCGTGCGGGTATTTGCACGTGTATCTGTGGTTGGCACATTTTTCCGCATGTGAAAATGCACAGACATGGAGACACGCATTTCACTGGCAGCTTAAAAAACATTGAACGAACGCACGTACAAACGCCCAAAAAACACAAAAAATTTGCAACATGCTTCTGCCGCGTGTTTTATGGCGTTTCCATTGAAGTCTATGGGGGAAAAACGAGCTTGAAACTGCCAAAAAAAGGACATGTAGTTTTTCCTGTGTTTTGGCATTTTCCTGCTGGTGTTTTCCTGCTGTGAACAATGGCCATTGAAAATCATGGTATTTCTTGTGTTGGGAGTTTAAAAGCACTTTTCCTACTGCACAAAAAGGTGTGAACCAGGCCTAATGGTATGATGTGCTCCTTTCTGTAGCACAATCCGCCTAATTGAAGATGATTTTCGGTCCAGCTTCCGGCATACATATCGTATAAACATCAGAAAGTTCAGATGTTTATGCTTTGGAGCTAGACAGAATATGTTGACACCTCGGTGCCTAGGTTTTGTTGGGGAAAACAATAGTTACCTGACATGATTTCAGGACAAAATACAAACATTTTTGCCATCTTATGGGTCAGCTTAGTTTTGTAGTTGTTGAAGCTGTGTTAACTCTTGGAATTATTCCTCCATGTTAAAATGTAACTCTGTTGGGTGTATTTATAAAACTTTTGCAGAGCCATTCTCTCTAAAAATGCCTCAGTTTTAGATTCGTACCGCATTATAACCACTAGATAGAGCAGAGGAGCATAGGAAATTCTTTGTTTTATAAATACAGCCCTACGTAAAGTTGTTTTTTTTTCCTCACAAAACCCAGGACGGGTAAATTGACATCACCTGTGTTCTGTTTCTAGGAGCTGGCCAGCTGCGGATGGAACAAAAAGGAAAAACACAGCCTTGCCCCAAACGTTGTGGCCTTCACAAGACGATTTAACCAGGTAAGAAGCGTTCAGTAGCTCCACTAGACTGAACAAGTGCAACAAATTTTCTGGCAGCTAGAGTTTTGAAAAGCTGGGAAAACAATGCAGAGAAGGTAGGCAAGGGTCTGGAGGCTTCTCGGTTTTGAAGGTCAGCAACATCTGTGCTGTATAAATTATTTTTACTTTGCTTGAAGTAATACCACTCAGATTCAAAACTTCAATGCAGGTTTGAATTTGGTGGCTGTGAGGAATTTAATATTATTGACATTATTTTACCTTTCTGTTTTGTGAGAGGCTGCAAGGATCCTGCTATAGGTATGTTTGGGAATTCCTTTCCTGCATTGCAAGTGAGCAGAAGGGTGAGGTAGACTACAGAACTGCAGTGATACCTAGGTGAGAACTGAACGGGTAAGCTGTGTTCCCAGCATGCATTTCAAGGCCTCATTTCAGTTTGGACTGCAGTGTAGCCCTAATATTAGTGTTACTATTTCAGTTTTCTGCTTTATAAAACTAGCAATAACCTTGCTGGCAGCTGGCTAGGAATGTGTATATAGGCAAAGCTACACAATGGGGGAGCCCACACCCTTACTACTTTGCAATTTTTATCTGCAGGGATGACCTCTCGCTGTGCTACACCACCTCCATGCATGCTGGCGCGCTCTCTTTTAGTCAGGAAATCTACCGGTTATAGAGAAAGCAGGCCACACTGGGAACGCCTTAAAGAGATTAGTGATATTGTTTATGGACCCCTCAACTAGTAAACAGACTGTTGTTCCTATAGTGGTGAAGATTTATACATAACCTACCCATGTGTTATACTTTCCCTTCTGCAAGCTCTTGCTGAGACTAGGATCCCTGAATTGGCAAAATCTCAGCTTGTAATTTGGTCAGCCACACACAGTTCAGCAGGGGACCTTCATCAGCTAGCCAATCAGCAGCTGGGGAATAATTGAGACCTAGGACTGGTCAAGCCAGCTTCTGTTGTTTAGCCACAGTTCTTTCCTAGGCAGCACTGTGTGAAGGGCTAGAAGGAGGCATGCACTCAGAAGACAGATCCAAAATCCCCACTTTTATGATAAGTGTTTTGGACCTTAAGGTTAGAATTCTTCAAACATTTTGCAGTGAACTTGCTATAAATACATGCTATTCTGTTATGGGTTCACAGACCTTTGATTAGAATGATGAATCTACCTTCTAAATAAATGCGGTGTTTACAATACAACTCAAATAGGGTCTGTTTATCATTCATGAAATCATCACCCCTCTAATGCACTGAGGGAAACTCCATTACTGATGATATATGTTTGTATAATCTTTCATCTCCGTTCATATAGAGTGAAAGCTGAGGTCACCACTTTCCATATTTCCCAAGTAGCTGCCGTTGTTGTATTTTGTGTCGCCATGAGAAGGCTTTTTAAGACAGACCTGCTAGGACACAACTTGATGGTAATAAAGCAACGTAGGGTTATACTTCTGCCTACAGGGGCAATGGACACAAGGCACATAAAAAAGTAAAACCAGCCTCCTAGAGGCTATAAGCCCTCACACCTTGCCAGTTATGCTTGCTTGAAAATGGATTTTTCCTTCCTCTCTGTTAGTAGAAATTCTCCTAATAGTAGTGAAAACTCTATCAACAGCTGCTGTGTAAATGGCCAATATGGACAATTCTGGAAGTTTCTCAAGTTAGTGACTGAATGCAGGTTTTCCCAATTTTTATACTAGTGTTCACTCTGCGACTGTCCTGCTGTTGGCAGTGACATCCCAGCTGTGTTCCATTGACGAAGATCAGGCTAGTTTTCTAGAGATTCCCCAGGCTTCTCTGGGGAGTATCACCCCCTCCTCTACCCAGCATGCCTCCGTTTTTTTGCTAGTGTCCAAGGAGGATGGATGTCTTTTCTCTGTTCTGCAAACCTAAATTAGTCTAAATTTCCTTGTGGAAGCATTTATTTTTTCCCATTAATTTATATCAAGATTCCTGCTACACTGCTTCTTGAGCTGGTCTGTATATAGCTGCTATCTGGATTGGTGTTTCTTCAGCCTAGCTTTAGAAGCTGTACCTGGACCCCAGCCCAGCTGGGCTGGACTGCAGGTCTAGCCTGAAATGTGACCTTCTGACACTGGCTCTGTTTTGTGGTACTTTCCAGACCAGCATGTGCACTAGTCACATGATGTCACCTTAAATATGGTTGGCTCCAACCATGAGTCTTTTAGAGCTCCTACAGCTGCAAAGACCTTTGCATTACATCTGCTATTCAAAGAATTCCTCTATACAGGTACTGGAAGCACCCTGAGGGGGTCTTAGGTCTGGCCTGAAAGTGTGCTGAAAATGTTCCCTTTTGAGAGGGAACTGCTTAATAGGTGGACAAAGCCGACAGTTACAACTGTACTCTCCTCTGAAACAGCAGATGGTTGGGTTTAGATTACATAATGGGCCGCAGAATGGAGAGTAGGATGGCTTGGGTTCTGACTCTAACTCCCCCATAGGAACGCCCATATTTTGGGCTTCAGCCTGGAGAGGAGCTATAGCCAGCACTGACGGAAAAGAATTGTGTTTTTTTTTTCTCAACCCCTGTACAGATTTAAACAGGGGCAAGTGTAATGTGCACTTGGTCCCCTGGGGATAGAACAATCATTTTTAACTTTTTGCAAAACCTCTTCTTTGAGTCATCCCTGAAAAAGCCTACACTTTGTGTCCCATTGCTTACTTGTCAAGCAGGGAATCCATTTTTTCCTCTGTCTTTGAGGGAGTGTGGGGTATAGAGAGAAACATCTTTAGCATGGCTATCTTCTTACCGGTTCCTTCCTGGATTTCCTCTGGTCCCTTTGATGCAGTTGTGGGTCTGTGTCTGAGTAGGCCTGCAATTCTGTCTTGGTGAATCAGGTAGTCCCTGCTGTAATCCTGTAAAACGTTCTCTACCCCCCCTGGGGTGTTCCACCTGCTAGAGTATCCCCATCCCCCCATGTTAGCCGTGCTTGGATCATCCTGCAGAAGGCAGTTGCCTTGAAACATGGCTTTTCTCAACCAGTGGCATTTGTACCAAAAGGAGCAGTGGGTGCACCTGGCTGCATATCAGAGCCTTTGCAACAGATCTTGGATAGAGTCGTCTATCCTGAGCACTATGAGGAACTTCTTCAACATTTTAAGCCACCATGCTTGGCTGATCAGCAGTCCTTAGCATTTTGGCTAAGGCCTTGTTCACACCAAATGCAGAGCAGATGCCCTCAGGTTTCTGCACACGCAGTGCAGTGGGTTGTGTCGCATTTTTGATGCGTTACGGGTCGTTTTTGGTAAAAAAATAAATATATATATATATTTTTTTTAGTTTAACATGGGCTTTCAGTGCGTTCCAGGCATTTGCACATGTTTTTGATGTGTTTGCATGTGTTCCAGAGCACATCCAGAGCAGGTAAAATAGGGCTTGCTGCAGTTTTTTCACCTGCTCTGGACCTGCTCTGGAACTGCACGCTGCGATGGGAACTGAAGCAAAAAATACCATTGGAATACATTGGACGCAATTTTGATCTGGTCTGCAACTGCTCTGCTCTGCCCCCTAGGAGTATCACAGAGGTTGTTTAGCATCCTTGGTGTACTTTAACTGTTCCCATTTCACCTGTCTAGAGCTATGGCTTAATTGCCTCTTTTCTGCCTACCTTGTGGCAGTGTGTTTTGGCACCCTTGTCCAGTGATCTTATTGACTTTGTTGGCCTTCGGCCTTCCCATGTGGACTGAATGGCCCTTTTACAAGGACCTATCTTTTAGGTTTCCTTAATCCTGGGGATTATCACCAGCATTTTGATATGTTGACAACATCGGGTTGTTGGTTCCTTCTTCTCTGTTGGGAGTTATTGGTCCACCTATTTTAGCAGTTTCTGGTTTTCAGACTCTTGCTGACTTAGGAATGACTCCAGAAAAAACATTGAACCTATCTGGCAGTGACCTTTCCCAACCTGTTTGGTGGCCATTTTTAGGATTTGCATTTTTTTTTTCATGGAGACTGTAACAGGAGAATAATGGCAAGGGAATCTTACTGTTAGGGCCCATTCAAAACAAGCCCATGCGTTAATCGCACGGGTAACCCTGTGAGTTGCTAATGTTACACCTATAATTAAAACATCCCTTCTGGGTGAAATGGCCCTTCAAGCACAGAACTTGTCCCAATAAGTATATTAAACTTAACCCTGTAAAATATGTTTTATATTTGTGTTTTTTTAATTATTATTAATAGTTGATATACCAAATATCAAAAGATGAATGAAAATAGCAATGGCGCCCCTTTTAATTAGGTTTTAATAGTTTTTTTCTGTATTTGTGAAAATTTAAGTACAAATGGCTCTGTTTCGGTTAGTAATCACCAATCATCCACCAAGGCCTTACAAAAATGTGGTACGGGGGTGGATTTATTAAAATGATTAGGTCATTTTCAGATGGATAGGATTTTTCTCTGTTCTTTACATCTGCTGGGACAGAAGAACGGATTGGTCACTTGGAAAGATCTTTTATCTTTACGCATACCCTCTCCAATGCAAATAAAAACTTTTTGCTTTTTAAAAATATATGAGAAGAAATGACTGTACACTGCAATAATTATTGTATGTTTGATGCAAACATTTAGTTTTGAGCCAAGCAGTTATGACACCCCAGACTGGGGTGGAGAAACTGCATATCCAAATTTTACACATTACCAATTGTGTTTTTTTTATCTCCTTTTAAATTATCTCTATATAATTCCAGTTATGTCTCTTTTGCAGCTTTTATATATGATGGTATCATGTGGTAAAGGGTCGTGTTCTGCATTTGTATATTCTTTTGCATGTCTGTTTTGTGTGTGTGTATGTATGTATGTATATATGTATATATTTATTTATATATATATATATATACAGTT